CTCTCTCTCTTACATAACAGCAATAACTAGCTAACCCATAGCTTTGTCTTAAAGTAAAACACTGAATTTGAAGGAAAACCTACCAAAAAAGCTTTTAAATTACATTGACTTTTAGATTCAAATAAACCTTTAATGTAAGTCTTGGCTTCAAAATTTGCCATGTAATCAAAACAATAAACCACATCATACCTTGTATATAAAAAGATTAGGGGCAGGTTTCAATGATCTGTAACAATGGAAAATAAATCTCATGTGTGTGCATACACATGTATTTATATATGTGTGTATGCATATATAACAGTTAGATAACTTTCAATTAGTAGTAAATATTGCAGAATGCATAGCAAAGGGAAAAACAAAATATAATTTTAAACATTATAGTTCTACCTCTATTATTTTTTAAACGATGTCAAAAGAAGAAATAATCCATTAGCTACTGAGTTTACTTTGATGTTTAATTTTAACAGGAAGAAGTAAACAACCAGTTTAAGCTCCAAAAATATCTACTGAACTGATTTATTTTAAACATTCTAAATTTCCATTAACTTGACATCACTGGACATGTATAGACGTAGGGTTATTTACCAAGATGAAGGAAATCTGATGTTGAATTTAGAATCTTGAGCATGGAGCACAAAGATACTCAATTGACAAAATTACTACCTTAATAAAGGAAATTTTAAACAATACATATAGTCACCCAGATTAATGTACAGAATCAATGAAATCTTTATCAAAACACTGAGAGAAATTCAGAAACTTACCCTAAAATTCATATAAAAATGTAAAGTATCAGAAGAGCCGAAACAATCTTTAAAAAATAAAGTTGGACATTATGCATTTCCCTACTCCAAAATTTACTACATAATTTACTACAAGACTTACTACATATTCTAAAACTTACTAGTTTAAATATTGGATTTGTCCTAAATATAGGAATTGTCCACATTTATGGTCAATTTTCAGGGATAATAGACCATTTGGTAGAGCAAAAATAGTCTTTTCAACAAATAGTGAATAGTTTTTAAATGTTACAATAATCCAACACTTAAGTATATAAGCAAAAGAAATCACCAGACAAGAATTTCTACCTAAAAAGTGAGAACAACCCAAATGCCCATCAACTGATGATTGTGTGAAAAAAACATGGTGTGTGTATGCAATGGAGCTTCATTTTGCAGTAAAATAATAAAGTACTAAGACATGCTACAACATGGATGAAGTCTGCAGACATGCTAAGTGAAAGAAGCTGATCACAAAAGACTACACATTATGATTCTATTTACATGAATGCTAAAATAGTAAAAGTTATAAGGACAGAAAGTAGGTTGTGCTTGCTGAGGGACAGGGGCAAGGGAGGGGAGGTGTGCGGGAGAATGGCAGTAAGTGCTAACTGCCGTGGGTTTCTTTGAGAGATGATGGAATGTTCTAAAAGGGATTTTGGTGATGACTGTACAATGCTGTGTATACACTAAAGACATCACTAAAATGTGTATTCTAAGTGGGTTAAGTATATGTTATTGAATTATATACTTTAAGCAAGTGAACTGCATGTTATTAAATTATATATTTTAAATGAATGAACTATGTTGAATGAATTATATTTCAGTAAATCTTTTTTATTAAATGTTATACATTAATAACCCACACTTGACTCCCAGATAAAAAGAGCTTTGCTCAATGACAGATTGCATGAAATTTTTTTTTCTTTAAAATCTTGATCTTGAGTTTCTGAAAAGTGGTGGTGAGAAAGAAATACAAAAATGCCAATCATTCAGAGAACTGACTAATAATAGAAGAAAAATGACAAAAATCTCAATGTTAAAACAATGCTTTGAGGGACAGAAAACACATGCATAAAAGGTCTTGCAGCCAACAAAATAGAAAACAAAAGTCATCTGTTCCCTTCCCTAAATTTAAACCTGGAGATGACATACAAGAAACAGGGATGTTGATGAATTCAGAGATAGAGTCAGTATTTATAATTCATGCAAAATCTTTAAGAAAAAACTTATAAAGACAGGAAGTGATTAGGCAAGATACCCTGTATTAGGAGAGGGACAGAGTCGTGTTTTCTGAATTGATTAATATTTACCCTAGCTTCTGTGGGGCAGAAAAGCAGCAGAACCTGCCCAGTACCAGCCCAAGGCTGCAGACTAATGACAGCATTATCCTAGACCTCAGTTTGGGTGAGGAATCTAACAGCCATACATGCAGACAGCTGCACAACTCCCGCTAAGCATTCAGTTCTGCCCACCCCAACTGCTGACTTGGCAATTAGATCAGTTTATGTGCATAGCTTCTAACTTGGCAAGAAAGTAGAATATGCATATTTTGAGCCACTGAAGCAAAATTTATGAACACTGAGAAACATGAGAAATTTCTGAGATTCAAAAAAGATAATTGAGATCATTTACAACGGGCAAAGAATCAAATGGATATCAGACATAGGACAAGAAAGTATTATTTTGAAAGTTTTGAAGAAGAAAACTTTGAAGCTAACATTTTACATATAACTGAGTTATTTACATGTAAAAAGCAAATAAATATATTGGTAGACATTAAATCGCTCAAAGAGAAAGCCACATAAAATTTCTGGTTAAAGAATTTTCCTGGATGGTTTGTACTAGTGAGAAAAGAAAGAAATGCATGCACAAACAACCAGAAATGAAAAGGAAAAGATATCCATAGTTATTCATGTATGCCATAGTAAAGAAATGGTATCTGTATCAAAAATTACAAGTATCAATTTCGAATATATATCAATAAGGTCTAAACACTGCTAGAGAAAAATAACCATTACTATGATCATGGTAAGTGTTACGGTTTATATGTAGAATAGCCCCCAAAGCCTCCTGTGTTCAGAAGGTGGTTGGATCACTGGGTGCTGTACTCATCAGGAGATTCACCCAGTGGTGAGTTCAAAGGCTGAATGCAATGCTGGGAAGTGGCCCTGCTCAGAAGGGGTGGGTCTTTGAGGGTGTCATCTGGAGGGTATATCTCCTTCTCCAGCTCTTCCTCTCCTCTGCTTCCTGACTGTCCTGATGTGAGTAGCTTTCCTCCACACATCACTCAGTTTCTGCCTTGGAGCCAGCAGACTATGGACTGAAACTTCTACAAATCATGAGCCCAAATGAGGCTCTCCTTTGAATTACTGGTCTTGGCTATTGTGTCTCATCAATGAGAAAGTGACTAAGGCAATACGTGAAGGGTACTGTTGTGAAACATAGAAACAGAATATGAAGTGCCAAATTTAGTAGACAAAAATCAATTTATGTTCCAGAAGCTGTGAAAAGAAGAGTAATTTTTGTCAGTGCAAACACCAATCAAATGACAGACTTACAGGGTGAATGGAAAAATAAAGAGGTAACAGTCTTCTCCATAAGGAACAGACATAATGCAGGATACAGAGAAACTGCAAATAGAGTAGTGAAAGTACTTACTACCAGGCTAATACAAGTTAACATAAAGTAGGAGTAGATATTTCTAAACTCTACAAAATAAAATGTAAACATTTTAAAAATCACATAGAAGGAAACAAAAATTTGGAAAAAAATACAAGAAGAAGATACAATGATTGTGAACACATGTAAGCCTAACAATATATCCTTGAACACTATCAGGGAGAAAGTGAAAAACTGAGTTGAAATATGTATGTATTTAATTCCATGTGTTTGTTTCCAAGTTCTTTGATTATGCCTTTTCCTCTTTGCCTATGCATGAATTACTTATATTCATCTTCCTATTGTTATTTGACTTTTAGCCCTGTTTGAAACTATTTTAAACAAATGGAGAGAAAAGAGAACTTGGATTCAAATAGTCCAGGTGTTTTGTTTGATAAAAGTTTTATACTAACATTATTTGAAACAAGGAGCCAAAAGAAATCACAGAATTTGATGTAGCTTTTATTTACTCATCCTGTCTTTTTTTGAATGCCTCTTCAAGTAATGGAAGACAGAGACATACATTTCCTAATTGTTCTAAGCTTCCACTGCAAACTGTCATCTAGGATAGCAAAAAGTCAAATACACAAAAGCTAAACACACACAAAAATATTTTATTCCCTCTAAAAACCAGCACTTTGTATAGAATACATGAGATATAATTTAGTTTCATATTTTCAAAATAACCAAAAATGCTATAGAAAGAGTCAAGTATATTTCTACCTATATTCTGAGGAGAGTCTATTTTTATATTTCCTGCTTTACTTAAAGAAAAGCAAATTCTGAAAATAGCAACATATAATTATCCAAAAATTAGCATTTTTAAAAAAGGAAATGAAATATTTCATTTCTAGAATTTTTTATTTTTTTTACTTAAACATCGCACTATACATAAAATAACAAATATACATTTAAATTAATCATAATCTGTGAATTTTTCCTCTTTAGGGTTATTATTTTTAGAAATAATTAGGTTATTATTTTTATCATTTTAGGATTGTAATACCACATACATGGGTACATATGATTTGTTTCATTGTACTTTTTCTGAGCTTGTGACAAAGAAATTTAATAATAGAGCCACTCTCCACAAATGAAAATATTCACTATATTTTACACTTCTCTACATTTAAAAACACAACTGTGCAATTAAAAGGCAACTCACCTCCACCCACCTTTTATGGTAAACTTTGTTAACAATGATAGATCTGAACTGTTAACTAAGGACCTTGGCTACTCCAAGAACTAAATATAGGTGCTTTATTTCTCCCATTATACATATATCTTAAATTCCTTCAGTTCCTATCTGTCAGGGAAAGGCTCCCAGGTGAGGAGTCTGTCACTCTTGCATAGGCTAATAGACTCTCCAGTGGCTTTTGCTGTAGCTCATGTCATACCATTAAAACTATGTGCCTCAAAAATGGCATAACATATGTAGCTGAATCTTGTCAACCCTAGATAATCAGACTCTGTGTGGTTTCACAAGCAGATGCAGATTAGAGAAGCAATATAAATATGCAAATCATAGTGGTCCCCTTTCAGCACCACTGTTCCTACCTCTAATGGCCCTCGCAGGAAGTCTGTTTGTTCAGCTCCTACTTCCAGTGCTACATCAACAGAAGCAAAGGGACGACTGGCCATCTGCTGTCTTTCTCGAAGCAGTTGCTGGAGGGGGTTAAAAATGATTTGTGTTAAAATTGGCTTAAAAGCACATTAAACTCAACAATATCTGGTTTCATTTTCGAACAAACAGACCTGAACATTTAGGAATCATTTCATACACATACACATATCCAAAGAGGTAAAGATAAAAATTACCTTCTTCCTATGGCCTGCATTATCTTTCCACAGAGGCATTAAATGTATAGGGCCTGCAAATAACTTACCCTGACCTCCATCCCACAGGCCCAATCATTGCACTGAAAGGCACTTTGTAAACCTCAGGTGAGAGGGACTACTTAAATAAAAAGTGTGATTTTGATGAGGGCTATGCTAACTTTGCCACTTAAAATAATCCATGCTTTTGTCTTAGCTAAATGAAAATGGTTAAGAAGTGATAATAAAAAGTTGTCGAATGTATTAATAGAGATTAAAGGAACATACACATGCCAAGGCTAGGTTTTGTAACTTGTTGGAATCCCCTATGCAATTTGCAGTGTTTATATCTGCATTCAAAGCCTCTGTGTTCATTATTTAAAATGGGAAATGACTAATGAGTTGCAGAAATTTTTTTCCCCATATTTCTAAAGCACCCCTAGGTATTTGTGCTTTCTCCTTGTGCCTAATCTGGGATTTGCCCAAGCTAAAACCAATAAACTAACAAGTAACAACCAACTACCAAGCTAATTTATATTTCTGTCTTTCTTTGTAATTATAATATTCATTAAGTCATGATAAGAAAAAATTGATGAGCAGTACTAGATATTGCAAATCTTATCCCTTTCATTCTATATAGCTAATAAAATTATTATTAAATATTAAAAGATCATGAGCAATCCAATTAAATACTCTGGCAAATGAGAAGAAAATCATAACATTGAAGAAGGCAGAATCCTTGAACGCAATGAATGGCTTCATTATTTATAGAGATTTTGAAAGATTCAGTAGCGTGAACTTAAAACATTTACAATTGGTCTTTGAATGTGAATGGATGAAACACTGTGATGCATGATTCATATAATTCCCTTGTAGATGATGAAGGAAAAGAAGTCAACACCTAATGGGAGTTATTATTTAACATTTTTAGCATTTGTGACACAGTGGTAACAGTGTTCATGAAGAAAAGATCTAAAATATAATTTAAGGCTCTACCATTATTAAAAGTGAAAATCCATACAACAATGTAGAAGAGAAGTAATGCAATTGTTAATGAATGATAGTTCCAATTCATAAATTATATGTTTCCAGAATTAGTGAATTCATATTAAAAATACACATTCAAAGTCAAAAGTAACTGTGGTCTAAGTTACCAAATTATTCACTTTAATATAAATTCAAAGTTATATTATTGAAAATACAGCTGTTATCAAACAGAATCTGGACTGTCCCTCTCCCAGTAGATCTGAGCAGAATGTTCATGCAAAATACAAAATGATGTTCGTTCAAATGGCAGGTGACACTAAGGGTAGAAAACACCGTGCTCTTTTTCTTTGGTAGAAAATCACACCCACCCACATGCACATGTATCCCTACCTCCCCCAAATATGCAATATGCCATTCCCACGTAATACAAGTAGGTTTGAGAAAAATATAAATTCTAGTTTGTGCTCAAACATAATGTTTTAAAGATTTGTCCTGACAATTTTCTCCAATAACATTAGTTCTCATATTGCAAATGGTATTTCATATAAATAATATTTAAAGACAAATAACTTCTGTTTCTTCATCTTGTCTTCTCCGTTTCCCTCAAAAGAAACCATCTGCAATATATAATTAATAAGTTCTCATTACAGCAAATTTGGATGCAAATTGATAAATACACCAAAATTTACTATTTTGGCAAAGATTTAGTTCCCTGGAATATAATGTATATTGTGACCCTCAATAATTATAGTAAGGATTCAGACATTTTGTTTGTAAAATGGAAAAGTATAGTTAAAGGTTCCAGTTTTTCTGTTGAGCTCTGAGTTTCTATCACATTTTAAAAACTAAATGCTACCTATTGGACTTTCTACAGAGAAGAAAAACATTGTTTTTACTCACACTTTAATACTATAGTTTGTAAAACATGACATGTAACAAAAACAATTAGGGAATAAGATAGGTTATTGGTAATGGGTGCAATTAAGGGACTAGACAAATACATTTATTGGGCCACTCTTGCTGGTACAACTGACTTTCTGATTTGGGAAGTAAGGAAATGTTCTTACTGTGACTCTTAGGAAGGGTGAAGCACTTTCCTGAAATCCTTTCGCTTTGGTGTGATGGCTACTAATTTCCAGCTCTCCACTGTATCTATCAACTGCTCCCTTTCTTGCCAATTTATATCTGAATATATTACTTCAAATTTTTTTCCAGAAGAAAAGGCAATGCCAACAATATGCTTAAGACTTAAATTCTGTCAAAATTTAGAATGGACATGCAGCATAATTAGAAGCCAGTTACTGACATGTAACATAATGAGAAGGATAATATATATATTTGAGTTTAACCCAATGACTTAGAACTCTAAGTCTTAATTTTCTTATCTGTAAAGTGAGGATAATGAAAGTACCCTTCCCAACTCCCTCTCCACCCCTGTATACCTATACCTCTGATGAACTGTTTTAAATCTTAGCTTCTCTACTTACTAGTTTTTGGACCACAATCAAATCACTCAAGCCTTTCCTGTGCACATTTTTTTCTCTATAAAGTGGGGGGAAAAGGTATTGTATTTTAAGTATGTTTCTGGTTTCAGCTTCTAATTTTACTCTAATATGTTGTGAGAGCTTACTTTGCAGGATTTACATTTTTTGGATATGTTAAGGTCTTTACTGTTGGTTTGAGTATGGTCTATTTTGAATTTTTAAATTAATTAATTAATTTCCAGAATAGGAAAACCTATGGAGATGGACAGTAGTTCAGTGGTTGCCTAGATTTAGGGGAAAGGGATTGGGAGATTACAGATAGAGGGTAGAGTGTTCTGATTTGGGATAACAAAAATAATCTAAATTTGATTATGGTCCTAGTTCTACAATTTTTTCAGTATGCTAAAATCTACTGAATCATACACTTTAATTTTGTAAATTCTGTGGTATGTAAATTTTAGCTCAATAAAACTGCTATTTAAAAAAAAAGTAAAATGAGAACAGCAATAATATCTTCAGGTTGAAAGGTTAGGACTAAAGAAATGACGTGCTTGGACCATTCTACACAGGCTGTGACACACAGTGAGCATCCAAGGACTATTCATTGATACATTATTCTGTTGAATTTTCAAGTACTAATTTTTGTCTTTGAAGATTGCACAGTAATTGTCATAGGCCCATGTTTTCACCACCAGTAACACATTTTTTTTTACTAGTTTCCATTTTGCCAAATGTTGCAAACTTACTAGACAGTTGGAAAATGTCACTATTGTAGTAGAACAGACTTAGATGTAAAATACTTTCTGCCATTTATGACCCAGAATGATTAAACATCAACCTGAAAATTAAAAGAAAATATTTAGCACTTTCCCAAGAAATTCTGAAAGTTGATTTATTTTCTGTGATTGTGTTCTTTATATAAGGTTTAACATTTGCACATCCTATGAGAATCCACTAACAGATGTACTATTTTATATCTAATGTGCTACTGTTCTGTTCATCAAAACAATAAAACCAAGAGAACACACTGATCATAATGCAATAGATTATAATCATTCAGGCGTTAAGTGTTATTGTGAAGTAATTTTAAAAATTAGAGATGTTCTAAGTATCATATTTGTTGCCCAAGACAACTGTTTTACTAATCAAAATCTCTTATAAAATATACCATGAAATTAAACATGGTATGAAAATTCACACTTAAATTTAACAATTAGAGTCATTGATTTTATATATATATATGTATATGCAGGTAATTAATTCCATTTAATATTATTAATTCAAATAGTAAATCATTCCCAAAGTTTATATTAGCTACCTTTCCAAATACAGTGTAGAATACAACTCTCTAAGTTTTAGGACAAAAATTCCTAAAAACCCCATATACATACAGAACAAAACAGTAGCTAACTTTGCCCACATCGGCCTATATCTCCTATATCATTCTGTTATGTTTAGCTTCTTTCTATGCCCCTCTCCTTCACCTCCAAAGTCCTACTTCACCACGTTTGAAATGATAAACCTCTCCTCTGAAGTATGTATTATATTAATATGGCACTATTTCCTTACATCACCATGCTTTTCTGAATACCTCTATATGGCAAAAATCTATTTTAGCTGTTTTCTACTCCTCCTACACATTAGTTGATACTGTATAGTATTTAATGAGTTAGCAATGAATGATCCATGAATAAATTAAAGCATTAAAATTTGCTTCATACGAATATAAGTAAAGGCATGTTATCCGAAAATTTATTTTAATTCTGATTAAACTTTAAAAACTATGATATATCCCTTGATATTACAGAACTTACATCTTATCCTCCAAATAGGTAGATAATCACTTTTTGTTTGTTTTGTTTTTTTGGTACCGGGGATCGAACTCAGGTCCTTGTGCTTGCGCAGCAGGCAGAAAAACTACTGAGCTAAATCCCCAGCCCTAGATAATTACTATTTAAAGTAGGTCTATTTTTTGGACCTGTATTGCAAATGAACATCAAGTTTCATATTGCTCCTCATCTACCTTATTTCAATTCTACAAAAGTTATGGAAAATATTCCTATGAAATCACAAAAATGCATTAACATTTCTGATAGAAATCATATTCCTAAGGTTTGGGAAATATATAAAAGAAGTAATTCAAATATTATGTCACTGATCTTGCATTTGCACACTAAAATAAATAAAGTTTATGAATTAGAGATTAAACAACAATTCATGACATAGAGTATTCCTGTTATAAGCACAAATATTTTTAAACATAGAGTAATACAAGTAAACAAATGATTTTGGTTTTTTGGTGATAGGATATGAAGAAAATAAAGAGAAATATAGATATCTTTTAGTATGATCGAATTAGAAAAATATTTTACCCTTTCA